ATGCCAACCTCATTCAATCTGACCTTTTCATTTTAAATGAAAACCACTTAAAAGCCTGCCCTGTTCTGACATATGTCTTTTTATGTCTTTCCCACTCTGTGCCAATATATGTGTTATTTGCTGGCCAAAGTTCCCAAACTCAGAAATCTCACGTTATCTCCTCCACTGCCAGGGCCCTGACCCTCAGGCACTCTGGCCACTGCCAGCACTGTGGGAGCTGTCTGAGGTCTCCACATTCTCACACATTGGAAAAATCAGACCCTTTTCACACAAACCTCAATCTGGAGTCCACCTCTGACTTAAAATTCAGCTTATATGCATTGGTAGCTTTACACCTGAGCACAGCCATACACAGACAGGTACTCATCTTTCTATGCTGGGACACATGCAGGATCTGGCCCTAACAGTTTTCTGTGTTTCCATCTGTGCTTCTCAGGTTTCATGGATTAAAATTAAACTGCTCAATTCAACAGTACACTGCTGAAGTTATCTAATAAAAGGATCACGAAACAACAAAAGCTGGGGACGTGTTTCCCCTGCTCAGCTGCCAGCACGGCACCTGCTCAGGGAGTCCCCAACACAAACAGCCTGGCTGCTGCCTTTTGGGGTGTCAGATCCTGTGCTGGTGAAAAGCAGTGTTTCTGTGAATGGTTTCAGTCTGCAAGGAAGCACACACCCCTCTTAGACAGTACTCAGGACAGAGCTGCTTCCAATCCCACCACAACCCCACGTGTCAAAATATAAAGAATGGGGCTTATCACTTCCGAGCTGCTGGTCCAGCCCTCATCCTGGAGGAAAGCTGATGCTGATCACAGTACAGACCATCAGCTTAGATGGGGAAAATGAGCTCACATAACAGAGCAAAATCCCTGGCAGCCCCTACGTGCTGCAAGGTGCAGAGCCTGGTGCTAAAAGCATTGCCCCACGGGAGCCCCAAGGTCCTCCAGCAGTGCACAGCAGGCTTTGGGACCAGGACATATATTTTTGTCTTTGCTGTCCCACTTGATTTTCAGGTTTGTCCTGGTGTTCATTACACATGACTAAAACAAGAGGGGGAAAATGAGTTAGGAGAACAGAGGGGAAAAGAGAATGCTTCAGCACAGCAGCACAGAAGGGATGGGATCCAACTTCCACGGAAAGGATGGCATCCAGCTCCCCCAGAGATTGCTGTATTATAGGACATTAAAAGATCATTCAGAGCAGAACAGATCTAAACAGGGGCTAAGGAAGCTGTGAGACAGCCCTACCTACGGCATCCCATCAGCCAGGAGCCACGCTGAGCTGGGGCCAGTGGGCCATGATGGTCAGGAACCAACTCAAAAGCAGGACCAGCCACCCCGCACTGCTGTTATTTTAAATGCCCAAGGAAAGCTAGAAAAATAATGGGTGGCTAAGGAACGAGAGGAATCAGCATGTCTGTGCCAGAAAGCCTGCAGGTCCCATGCTGCAGCAACCTTTCAGCAGCTCCTGTCGCTGCCAGCAGCGCTGCCTGTGATTTACATGTCTGTAACTGACACCAGTACTGGATCCTGTATTTTCAAGCACAGACTACTGACCTCACACTGCTCACATTCCCTCAGTTTACTGGAAGCAAAGATTTTCAAAACAGCCTCACCGAGTTTTATTTTCATTTTTTCTTTTTTCCCCACTGTTTGCTGTCTGCATTTCACCAAGCCTGGGCAGAGACACCCTGAGCAAGAGGGGGGCACTTTCATTTTCTCACTCAAATGCACCTCAGCTTCTTGATCAAAGAAGGACAATCGATCATGCAGTATCAGGGAACCACAGATCCTGGGTTTCAAACGATGGATAACATTTTTCAACCCAGAACATAAAAAATGCCATCCCCTCACTCCCCAAGGAGTGGCCATCCTCCCCAGGCAGCACCAGCAGAACAGTGGCTTAATGCAACCTCTTGTGCTGTAAGGTGACCAGCCAAGGAAAGCACACTGACAGCACCCAGGAGCAGAGCAGCGCTGTGCCCCAAGGCAGGAGCCCAGCCCAGGGTCTCCTGCAGCCCACCTTTAAGCTGAAATCTCCTAGGGCAGAGGTGGCACATGTTTGCTGTGCCAAGTTTAAGGGGTTTATTGTAACCTTTTATAATGAAGCACAATGTTCCTTTAACCATTTTGGTTTTAAATGGCCACAAATTGAAGGCAGAGAACACCATCTCCCAGGCTTGCTCAGGTGCCACCACAATGAAACCCTTGGCAGCATGGCAGGCCCTCTTACCATGGTACTCCAAACCATTTGTAAAAGAAACTTTTAAAACTTAGAGCCTACACAACCAGACAGTCTTCCTGTTCAAGGCTTACATTTTCAGCCAGATCATTTGAAAACAGCAACAAATAGCTGGCAGACAACTGGATTCTACACTCTTGTGCCCACACGGTCAGGCTTGGTATTTTTGAAAACATTATTTTTAATTGTTATTATGTTTTCAAAAATACCAAGCCAAAGAAGCGTATTCCTTCAAGAAAAAAAAAAAGGAAAAACCTTGGATGGGGCAGAGAGGCCCAGATAAACATGGACATGTGGCAATCACCCAGCAGCATGTGGACCAGCCTCACCACTGACTGCACCTCATAAAAACACTTCTGTTCTTAACAAATGTTTTTACCGTCACAAACAGAATAATAGGAAAAAACCCAAGTTTATTTTTCCTTACAAGAAATGAGTTGCAAGCTGACGTTTCCCTCAGAAAGCTTCATTTTGAGAAAGGACCCACTTATTCCAAATATAGATAAAAATTTCTGGAGCAATTCTGACAAGCCCTAATACCTGCTC